CCCCCATCCACCCACCCATCCACCACCCAACCATCCACCCCCCCATCCACCCATCCACTCATTCATTCTCCCACTCCCCACACTTATCCATTCATCCCTTCATTCAGCCATGTATTTATCCACCTGTCTGTCCTGCCGTCCTCCCAGGGTGGAGGCTCAGTCCCTCCACGTCCTGTCTCCCTGTGTGAGGATCTCTGAGTGGCCTGTTTCAGGTCTGGCTTGGGGCCAGCCTTTCTTGGCATCTGCTTGGTGCTGGCATAGCACGGCCCCCCCTGATGGTGCGGTGGGCTTCCTGTGTGACCTGGCAGCTCCGCCCCTGCCCCTCTCCATGGGTCACCCTGACCTTCAGGTGGATGTGGCCAGGTGGAGGAACCCCGGAAGAGAAGTCCTCCAATGTCATCGGGCACCCTGGCACTGCTGCCGAGGACTCCAGGGTCCATGGCTCAGTGTTTCTCCTGGCCTGTCAGGACATGCACGTAAAGTCTGCTGTCTGTGGGCTTGGGGGTGGAGACCAGGGGTGAGCAGAGTCAGACCTAGGGACACCGATTCCAGCATCCTATCCTGCTGCCAGCCCATAAGTGAACCCTGACCCACCCTAGGCATGCAAGCCCCGGGGTGCTTGTGGGGACAGTAGCTTTCTCTCAGCAGGGAAAGGAACTCCAGCCCCCAGGCTCCGTAATGTTGCCCCATCCCTGACCATGGACACGGGGCACCATGTTGGGTCCCAGGCATGACTTTCGTCTGGTGCCAGGTGCTGGCGACAGGACATGACAGTGGCAAACGTGGCTCCCAGAGACGTGGCCCTTGATGAAGCCACATGTGTTGGAGTGGCCCAGCCTGGGTACTGATCTGAGTTGTACCCTTGGCTCTGGCCCATGCTGTTTGGTTGTAGCCAAGTACCAAAGGGTAGCCTGAAGCCCAAGGCCAACCAGGCCTCGGTTGATGCCCAAGGTGGCCTTCCTTGGCCTGAGCCCATTGTTACAATGGCCTTCCTCCAACCTCTATCATGTCTCATCACCTTTTGGCAGATGCTTGCTTGCATGTGGCATCCTCAGGCGATTTGAGGGTTTGAGCTCAGTGGCTCAAAAGGGCGCTGGGACCTGCTGACTGCAGGCGAAGGCACACTGATGAAAAGCTGTGACACCCCTGTGTCTCTGTGAGCCTGGGTCAAGTGAGCATGGAGATTTTAGTAATTTTGTTCACATTTCATTGTACTTTTTCAAACTTTGTATGTGTTGGATTGTGCACGAGTGCAGTACTTGTGCTGGCCAGAAGAGGGCGACAGATCCCCTGGAGCAGGAATTCTAGCTGCCTGATTTGAGTGCTGGGAACCCAAACCAGGTGCTCTGCAAAAGCAGCCAGCCTTAACTCTTGAGCCTTGGGTTTTACTATTTAAAATCTGCAACTCCAGAAGGGATGTAAGCTGAGTGTCTTTCCCAGTCACTCCCGCACTGAACTGAGCCACAGTCTCACTTGAGCCCAAGCTTGCTAATTAGCTAGTTTAGCAGGGTGCTCTGTGTGCCCCAAGCACTGAGGTTACAGGTGGGCACCGTGCCCTCACCTCCCAAGGTCCTTGTGGGTTTGGGCTCCTGACTCAGCCCTTGTCAGACACAGCCAACACTGGACTGCAGAGCAACCCTCAGCCTGCTGTTACTTCTTTCTTTGCTACCCGTCCTTGGAACAAAATGTGGGGAAGCCATTGACAGCCACACGAGTGTCTGCCGTGGCCTCTGAACAAACGTTCATGTGTGGGCAAGTGTATAACACACATGTGCAACACACACACACACACACACACACACAGCCAAAGAACTGATAGCATTCTCTGCTTTTCCTTTTCTTTCTTTAAAGACAAGGCCTCACCATGTAGCCCTGGCTGGCCTGAATCTGTGTAGACCAGGCTGGCCTCAAGAGAGTACTGTTGAGTGCTGACATAACAGCTAGAGTTTGGGATCTGGGACCCTTCCAGATGTGGCTGAAGCATGTGAGTGGGGATAATGGCTGAGGCGTCCAGAGAGCTGTGACAACTGAAGTGCTTCAGAGCATGGGGTCCTGGGGGATCCACGCGCACAGCAGGCGATTGCACGCGTGTCCCCAGCCTTCCGCCTGAGGCCCAGCAGCCTCTCTGCCGCCTTCCATGGGTGGGGTGCCAGGCACACGTTCAGTTCAGGAGGTATGGGTAGGGTCCCGCTGAGAGCAGAGTTTCGGTGACCAAGTGAGCACTCCTGAGCTGACCCCACGCAGGCCTGGTCCATTGGCTGCAGGAGAGGGATCAGTGGGAATTAGCAACTGGCCTCTGGGGACTGTTTGTCACACAGGCTGGTGGCGAGGCCCCAGGTGCCACTGCCATCTAAGCAGCTGCCGGGCCTTCAGCCATGGCACATCTTGGAGATGCAAGGCCAGGGGACACGTGTTGCTCCTGGCCTCCTGTCTGCTGCAGCCGGGCGTGGGCAGCATCCTGAGGGAGCACCCCGTGTTCTCGGGTGGGCGAGTTTGCAGAACCTCCCCGATGGCAGGGTGTATGGCGCCCCGCAGGAGGTGGGTGGGGCTTTGGGGTGCATGGTGAGGTGACGGTGACGGGTGTGGTCTGCAGGCACTGGTGAGAGCGGCAAGAGCACCTTCATCAAGCAGATGCGTATCATCCATGGCGCCGGCTACTCGGAGGAGGACAAGCGTGGCTTCACCAAGCTGGTGTACCAGAACATCTTCACCGCCATGCAGGCCATGGTGCGCGCCATGGAAACTCTCAAGATCCTCTACAAGTATGAGCAGAACAAGGTGAGGGCCGGCCTGTGGGAGGGCCTGCTCCTCCGCAGCCAGTCCTGAGGGTGGAGCTCGGAAGGGTAGAGGGTAAGGGACAGTAGGGGTGGCTGGGTAGCTGGGTGCCTGGGTGTCAGTATCACCTGGCTTCCTGGAGACCCATGCCCACTGCGCCTCTCCAGCTTGTTTGTTTAGTTTTTAGTAGCATTTAAAAATAATGGTATTTATTCTTTGAGAATTTCCTCTGTTTTGATCTTATTATTTCCTCTCCCTCACTTTTTCTGTTCTTCCCCCACTGGGCTGGATTTTTCTTTTCTTTCTTTCTTTCTTTCTTTCTTTCTTTCTTTCTTTCTTTCTTTCTTTCTTTCTTTCTTTCTTTCT